ACGTTTCTAAGCCACAGGAACAAGTCAGCATCTGCAGAGGTGAATGATCTGTTGCCTACGTTACATTCCCCTGTTTCACTGTTCTACTTGCTTTCACGCATGATTAATAGCCAAGCCATGAAAGATCAATCATGTATATGAGGTTAAACAGTTTACAGATTTTTGTTGTAAGGCTGCTCATGCATTGCAAATTAATAACATTGTTAAGGAGTAGCTCCTAGCTGCATGGATAAATTTAGTGCTTGGGAAAGCTAAAAACGTGCCATGGACTGTTAATGTACTGACTTTACCCAAATGCACCAGTGACAACTTGCACTGCAGTCATCTCCCTCTCTAAGGATGTGAGTGCCTGCTGTGTCACCGTAGCAGTTTTGTCTTTGCTGCAAAGAGTAAGATCAGCCCTTTAATCACAGTTATTGTTTAGATATAAGCAGCCATGTCAACAACAGATGCTAATGAGAACAATAATAGGAATTACACATACAGGATGCTAAAGGAAGGAAAGTGGAGGTCTTCTGAAAAGCAGAAGCCTGACCGAGAGCAGGAAATAGCATGCAAGGTGATGAAATTATGAACAGTAGCAGGAGCTGATCAACTCCTGCCTGTCGAGTCTCCTGCACACTCAGCATCTTCAATTCATCCACAGCCTCTACTGTGGATGCACCCTCAATCCCAGTAAAGTGCTATGAATAATGTATTACCTTCAAGGAAGGAACCAACTGTTTCTGAATTTCACAAGCTTTTTTATGCTTTTTGTTTTGTTGCTAATTCAAGCATGTTGCTATTTCCAATATTTCACATGTATAATTTTGCAAAAGATCACCAGAACCCAAAATGAAAGGCAGAAGCTCTGAGACTGCATTAGGATAGGGAATTAGCTCACCTCAGTGAGCTCTGAGCACTCAGTAGAGCTGAGGTAGTGGCCTGAGACTGGAAGAGGAAAATCCAGAAAATGCCGTAAATTTCCAATGCTGCTGTTGGATTACAGACTTCTTGGCAGGACAGTTTACATGAAGCATGCAAGTGTGACAGCTTGTGGCAGCTGAAGAATCTGAAAGCTGTCCAGCAGTTAAACCTGCCCCAACAACTGATGCAGGTTTCATACCATTTTTAATTCAACACAGCAGTTTTGGGTGGTATTTTTTTTTCTTAATTTTTAAGTCATCTGGGATAAGGATCTATTCAGAGGAAGAAATATACAATGTGAAATTGGTTAGCAGAGTTTAAGCCTCAGTGCAGTGCTATGATAATTTTAAATGCATGCAATATGTGATGGTTCTGCACTGCTTGGTTTATACAGAAAAAAATTAAAGAGGGATGTTAATGGGAAACAGAGAAAAGTTGGTCACACACCTGATACTGCTGTTGGGCTTGGCAGGGAACACCGTAAGCACGGGAGGAGTCAGCATTGTGAAATGGCATATGCACGCACATGAACTACAGTAGGACATGCTAACAACTCAACTACAAGGATTTCTTCTTCGGAATAGGCAATTCCCATACAAGATTTCCAAGGTTTTAAAAGCTTTGGTTTTCTGTTTGCAGAGGCATGTTTCCAGGCTCCAAAATGCCTTTCCAAACAGACTCAGATCTGCAGCTGGATGTGGGAATGAGCAGTGAAGCCAAAACCACAACCACAGTTAATGACTATTGGTTCTTTGGAATTAAAACAGAAATATCCTGTGGGATCCTTCAAGAAAACGATACTTTGAGAGTCCTGGCAGAGCAGCAATTCTCCCATACAGAGGCTTTTGTCTTTGATTGGCAGATATTACCAGAGTGATGGTAGAACAAAATTTATCTACCACTCTGCCACTTCCATCACTATTTCCTTCTTGCTCTGAGTTCCTGACCTCTATGCACTGCATCACAGAAGAGCCTGTGTGATAGGGAGCTTTAAGCAGACAAAAAAATCTGACACAAGATCTGTAAAAAGTGCTCTGGGGGAATGACTGTTGCCTCTGTTTACTTAGGCCTCATGACTTCTGTACAAGAAGTTGCCCACCCGTCTGCCTCTGTGGTCAGTCCATGGTCTCTAGTCCCTCTGAGCCTGGAGCAGAGGGAAGCTGCACAGAACAACTTTGCTGCAAAGAGACCGATGATGCCAGCTAGCGTCCTCACATCATCCTTCCTTTGCCTTGTACAAGCAATATGCAGTAGATCTCCTCCCTCTATCTTCAGAGAGGGTGGATTTGTTTTGTACAGAAGCTCAAGACAGCAGATGTTGCTACTTGCAGCTATGTGAAGAAACACAGGCATGTAAATTCTTAATCAGAGGAACAAAAGATCATCTGTTTTATAGGAAGGAAAATACTAGAAGAAAATTCCAACTATAGTATGTAACTTCTGCATCCATTTCAGCACCTCTAAACTCTTCACCTCATCATCCCAAGGTACAAAAACTCTGAGAACCTTTTTATTTATGAAGACAACACCAAGCAAATGAGAAAGTTTTGCGTATTGCTAAAAGGAAGTGTTGTTGAAGAAATGTTGAGTCTGTCTAATCACCTAATTGACTTCACGGCATCAACCTTGATAATAAATTTAATTTCACATCATAAAGGTGTCCAACAAAATAAATTTGCAACCTAATATTAAAGGCAACAGATGCAACTACTAAGTTAAAGTGTTGAAAATTTGTTTTACACATTTCTCACACCTAGATAGAAAAATGTCCCTAGAGAGTCCACACTTTTTTATTAACTTCCTTTGTCATAACACTGAAACAATTAACACAATACTTAGCATCAGTGCTGAAGTTCTGGACACATTACCTTTACACAAGCTTATAAAAAGCAGAGACTGTATATTCTTATACAGTAAATCTATTCTAATTTGCGGAGCTAGATTATTTATTTGCAAACACTGTCATTGTCTCCATGGTGATGCCAACACCAATTTTCAGGTTTTGCACTGATCTCTGCAATTATAAATTTCCTTATAGAATAAACAGTCTCTGAGAGGATGAGGATGGTGATACAAAATTTTTTAGATTACTTCTCCAATTTGCTTGTAGAATTAGCATTTATCCATCATTTCTCATGAAAATGTTTCCATAGATCTATCAAGATCAGCCACAGAATTAACCTAGACATTTCCTATTGGCAACTGTGAGAGACAAGTTATTGAGCTACAAGCTTTTGGTCTTAACCTCTATGTTTGTTCTCTTCATAAAGGACTACAGGCAGTGAAAAGAGAAAAAAGAGTTTGGCCAGAGACATTGGTGCTCTGACATCAGCACCTACTGAACAATAAGGATGTGCCAGTGAAGTCAGAATGAAATCTCAATCTGTCGATAGCTATTTGAAAAATTTTCCCTCTAGGGTACTAGGGAATGACATCAAAACCACAGCTTTATTAGCTAGGAAGTGATGTTCCTCCTCCAGTGGTGAAACATGAACTTTGCTCCATTTATGATTCTTGCATGTCTCACTGGTGTTTCCAGGAAAAAAAATACATGGTACATCCTGTGTATGTGCAAACTAACGGCTATAGGCTAAAACTTGTCATCCTACGCAGAAAACTCTCAGATCTGTAGTTTGGATGGAAATTCTGCAACCTCAAGCTCAAACACTTCTTGTTAAGTCATTTTTCAGATAGGCAGTATTGCTGCAGATGCTGTTTATCAAGATAGAGAAAACATTAACTCCTCCAATCCCAAGGATGCTCTAATATCAGTGGAAGAAATCTTTAACATCAGTGTTCCTCTAGAAAGCGAGGGAATTTCCATTTAAGTAAGTTTTTGGGATAATTCCCATGCATCTACCCTCTTCAGACAAGAAAAACAACACCCCTACATAATAACTTCAGATGTCCTTCACATGCTGAAGTCTGTATAGGTTCAAGATAGTCCTTTCTCATCCAGAAAGTCTTCATGGAAAGGAAGCCTGAAACATGTTCAGCACAGGCTAGTGGTGCGATGCTCACTACTGGTCACAGGGGAGAAATACAGCACTGTCATTCCCTCCACAGAAAGATCTAACTGGATAATCTGGATGTGTGGTGAAAGTTATTTACTTATTTTCAAAATGTGCCTCAAGTTATGACTACTAAATCCATAAGTAAACTCTAATTTCTGCTCCGGATTGTAGAAATGCAGAGCTTCCCCTAGTGCTGTTGAAAGTCTTATCTTTGATTTCAGTGAGCTTTGATCAGCCCCATGTAAAGTTAAGCCACTTCAGAATCACTGCACAACTGTTAACTAACAAATTGCAAGAGCAGAACAACATCGGCCCACTTCAGTATGACCCTAAAAAGTGTACACCTGCAAAGGAAAACTGACTGCCATTATTTTTGAAAAGGAAAACCTGAGAAATAAACAATGCCTGAAAATGTGCCTATTAGGGGACAGATCCACATCTTGTTACAATTGGATCCCTTGAAGACAAAAAAGCTATATTAATTTTTAACAGCAAAGAATTGGCCTTTTTTTTAAAATTGACATGGACTCATCTAAATCTTGAACTGCCATTTGCATTAAACCTGGGAAAGTATTGCCTACCCCTTTTCAGTGGTTTTTCTGTCTACATTAGATAAAGCAGGGGATCTTTCAGCCAATCCAGCAATAGAGAAAATTTCCAGATAAGCATCATTAATAACAGATAGGATTTTCAATAATCGAACTGGAGTAGGAGCACAAGTCCTATTAAAAAAATGTGGAAAACCAGTACCCAGAGAGCTTCCAGTGTCTGCTGGAATTCCTTAGAATAAGTTTTCACAAGATTAAATTTTTTAAAAAACTCCAGGACTTCTGTCAAAAATCAGTTTGGTTGATAATTTAGTGGGAAACAAGCCTCACTGAGCAGAACTTTTCTGTTTGTCAACACATTGATCTTCTACATTTTGTTTGCATTGTCCTGGAAGGACTGGACATACAGCACTGTAGGACAAATATTGAACATTATTTTATATAAGCAAGACAATGCTCATCTAAAGCTTTAGCATAAACATCAGGTAAAGAGATTTACCAAAGTGTTTTTTTCTGTAAAATGTCGATATTTTTGTTGCCAAAAAAAGTCAAAAAATGACTTCTTCCCACTTGTATAACAATAAGGTTTGATAGGTAGAATGTATGAAATATACAGTAGCTTCTTCTGAAAAGCTATCTAAGCTCATTCAGTTTACAGTATGTGGAATGTAATTATCCAGAAAGTGAAATATGTATAAAAATAGGTAAAATTCCTACAATATTTGTATTGAATTATAATTCCTCCTGCCAGGAAGGTTAAACAGGTCTACAGTATATGTATGAAATGTTTGTTCATAAAGTTAAAAAACATCATTACCTTACTGAAGAACGCATTAAATGTAGGAATGCATAATCAGAACTGACTCAATTCTGCTTAGCTGGTGCAAATCTACAGAGAACCATCATCCTTTCTGCACAAAACAAAACCAACCTCTAATTTGAGAGTTGGGGTTTTTTTGTTTTGTTTGGTTTTGTTTGTCATAGAGGGGCCAGACTGAAGTTTATGAAGGAAATTCCTCTGGAAGTACTTTGTTTTGGGGTTTTTTTTTTTCCCTATTCCCACTTTGTTTACTGACAGCAATCACCCACCTTTTAAAATGATTATTGCCTGACATTACATGGAGCTTTTACTGCTTGTTCAGAACAAGGCAGTGAAATAGAAAGAAACTCCAACTCCCCTGCCATGACCCAGTTCTGGGCTTGTGCTTTTTTGATGAGTCTTTGATCTGCAGCAGGCCTCATAGGCTAGTCTCCCGGAGGAACATGGTGCCAATGTTGTAAGAAACCTTTCTCACTCTGGCAGATGTGATGGAGGGTTTTGGCGGCTTCTGACTACTTCTGACTTCGAGGAAGTAACAGATCCCAGGAATTTCCTTTGGAAAGTTTTCTGGAAGCTCTTCACGGGAACGAGGGATAAAAATAAAATTTTCTTCCTTTTTCAAAAGCCTAGGGGAAAAAAAAAAACAAAACAGAGGGATATAAAAACCTGTAAAACAGAGTCCAGAAACATCTTTTTGGAAGAGATTGATCCTATGTGGTCCCAAATAAAAAAATGAGTTAAAAGTATTATGTAACATCTAAAAAAATCCTAAGCCAGGATCCTCAGCTGATGTATGTTAATTTAGCATCATCAACTTCAAGGAGGTCTGTTGACTAGATCAGCTGAAGAGATGGCCCAAATAAACACATTCTCTGAAAATCAGTGTCAGTATTCAGAAAGTCATGTACTAGAAAGGGAACGAAATTCATAATGATCATTATCCATAACATATCATTTGGCTCACTTAAAACACTCCAGTCTGGCCAGTTTTGCAGAAATTAACATTTCAGAGTGATGACTACCACTAGGTCTTCTGCCGGAAAGTAGATATGAAGGTGGTAGTGCTTGGGAGCAATCACAGTTGGAAGCAGGGTAGTCAGTTTGTGCCCTTCTCATACTCAGTAGTGTTGTATTTCATAAACTAGGTTCAAATACAGCATGTCCAGCTTCAACAAAAAACAGAATCAAATCTGACACTATTCATCAAAAGTACCTATGGGTTTAATCTGGGTCACCTGATTGTGGTCAAAAAGGGATATAGGTTCACAGGAGCCATGAAGCCATTCTCCAGGCATGTCCACACAAGTGGTACATCACAGACCTGACTATACTGCCTTTTGCCATTTGTCGTCTTCTTCCATAGTGAAGAACTCTCTGTCTGGCTAGATCTAAAAGTTTAGGGCCTCTTTATCAAGTATCTTCCCTGAAACTAGTTGGACTTGTAAAAAACCCGATATTACTCTATACATTTTGTTTCCAGTAAATTAAGTTAGGGGTATTCAGTCCCTTCAAGCATTGAAAAGAGCAGTTTTGAGGTAATAGTAAATTCTGAGTACAGCTGGATATACAAAAGCGGTCTTCATCTTTTCACCTCCCAAGATATTTATTCTTTCTCTCAATCAATTTGAAGCTCAAAAACATCAGTGGGAAGAACTTTATTAGCTCCAGTGGATTTTGTAATAGGTTCTTTATTTAATGTCTCTAAAGCTGGTTTTTGAGAAGTAAATGAATGAATGAATCCTGTTGCCAGGAGAGTTTTCCAGGATTCTCAGCACACATTATGGCACTTCCTTTACTGACTATTTTTCGTGAGTTTTGGCTGAGAAAATTTGTGTGAGCTCACTGAAATATAAACGCATTTTCTTCCCAGCTTTTAAATAATCAGTTGGTTATAAATCCAATGATGTTTTTGCCTTTGAATGTCTGTGGTGGTCTTTGTTTAGCATGCAGTTTGAATGTCATAATCTATTTTCCAGACTGCCAATTTTATGATCAATAAACTGTAATATTTTCTGAATTACATGAGAGTTTGCAGATGACTCTACAGAGAAGCTTCTCTCTTTTCATCTCTGCAATGCTTGCAGTAAATATTTTGTGTTTTAAAACTACAGGCTTAATACACTGAAATAACTCTTCGTTGCTTCCCCGACTAGATTTCTGCAAGCAACAGTTGAACTCTTAGAACTTTCTGAGCTAAATCTGTAAGCTTTCGCTGGCATCATTCTTCCCCAAACTGACTATTCACTATGGAGGATCTGGCCTTGCTAAAAACCAATGGTTTCCTTCTCAGAGCCTAACATTATCTAATTGTAATGACAGTCATACAAGTTTGAAGTTGTAAAATGTATATATTCTTTGATTCAGTTCAGGGCTGGCACTGAGTTTAGTTGATATTTCACGCTATTTTCCTCATAGAACAAAAGTGCAAGTTATTAATTAAAGGCTTTATTTTCACTTGTTTTGTGACTTGTAACTTGGTTGCAATGAAATGCTCCAGGAATGATGGGCGACTAACCAATTAGTCCTTTCGAAATTCATGCACTGCTGTGGCTTGTGATAGACTCCACATCCCTATATTAGGTGCACTATTTGAATCACCTTCTCACCCTCAGAAATTGTCTAGCTGACCTTTATTGGGATAACATTTCAGCTCCCAAGCAAGCACGGCAGGAAACCTTCTTTACCAAATGCTAATGGAAGGTACTTATGATCATACTCTATCCTACTTCAGTTTATACTGTAAAAAATTTTTGCTGGCTCTTGTAATAATACTATTACAAAGACTTTAATCAGGACAAAAATGGCCTCTTGTTAGCATTCTCCTAAAGAACAGGTTCTTCAGATTCCTTAAATATATTGATCCTGACACTTGGCTTCCCAGGCTGAGAATGAGATCATGGTTCAGAAATTGCTTCTGATTTCTTATAGCTTTGTATATACACTAAAGAAGTAAGTTCTCTGCTAATCCTCAGTGCTTAGCAGTGAGGACATTTTTCTGCAGGAATCTTTCCTCCTGTATTTAGGCCATTCATGATGTTAAAAAGAAAACAGTAGCAGCTGATGGCCATGGCCCAGATCTACAGCCCTTTCTAAGTTTCTTGTCTTCCTTTTCATAGGTACAAAGAACCCCAAAAGATATTTCTGCCAGGCAGCTGAATACATAGTGCAGATCCTCAGCGAGGGGAAGACCAAGCCAGATAATCAGTTTTTGCATTTCCCCTCTGGCTCAGGGGAAGAGCCAGTGTAAAACCTTCTGGTCTGGAAGGTTTCCTGGGTGGTGGCACCCAGTTCTGGTTGTTTGTCTCACCTCGTGGACCATTCTCAGAGCATTTTATTGTGACCAGGCCACACTGCCTGTTCTGAAAGTCTGAGAGCACAGTCTGTCCTGAGAGCACAATCTATCCTTCACCTTCAAGAAATTATATGGCAGCTGAAGCTCTACATAAAATGTCCCCAGATTGTCCCATAGTCACAGAGATTAAGTTACACAACCTCTGCAGTTCAGGAATATGCATATAACAACTAGTCTGAAAATATTCCAAAGCATTTCTCTCAGCTGTATTTCCTGCATCACTTCTGTGTATTTCCCTTAAAAGAACTATTGCAAAGGATATTTTTAGAGTAGATTATTCACAGGTTCAAAATTCTGGGTTCCACTCAAGTGGTTGGATATACCACTTACAATTCAGTGCTTAAATTGTTATGGTCAGGCTACTCAAGCATTCCTCTAAATTGAACTGAGGTCTGCCCTCAGCTTGTCGTCTTTGTTGATGTTTCAGTGGAGGAAGAATTTCTTAAAAACTGATCTGTAGTTGATTAACTTTGACAGCTTCCCCTCCTAACCTGAAATCTTCCAGAACTGTTTAAATTCTTGTTCTGTCCCTTCCCTGGTGAAATGCTGTTGCTTTCAGACAAAAAGAGATGGTATCTAAGAATTATCCCATTTATTTTTTAATTTTCAGTTCCTTCATTTAAAAAAAAAAAAGTGTCAGTATGGAAACAGAAAATGTGGTTATTTTCTAGTGGAAACACAAAGCATTTTGAGGTCAGGAGGTCTGTGTGTGAATGAAAACTGGGATCATACTTAGTGGGAACCTCAAAGCAGCTTTTAAAAGCTGTAGCTCTTTTTTGCATAGAGGAAATGACAGAGTATTTATATTTCAAACTATTTTGGCAAGAAACAGTCACATCTGTATCAGTGGGTTCCTATATTCAGAAAATAAAGTAACAAAGATTTGTTACTACAGAATTATTTGTTGCAAGGCCCTCTATGCTGAGTGTATGCTTTCCACAATGATTCTTACTCTCTCCATGCCCATTGGAAAGCAATATCACCTCTTTATCTCTCCATCTCTCAGAGATGTCAGACCTTTGTACTTATCACTGGATGATGTGAAGATTAATTAATATTCACACAAAAAAAGTACCTCTGCTTGCCCTCAGGCTCAGCAGGAAGGATGGCTGCAAATATTTTTTTTTTTTTTTGTGAAAAGTGGGTTAACTTGCTCCATTCTTTCCCAAACAAGATACAATCACAAACTGAAGGATCTGTCCAAAGGGAGGAATAAGATGGTGAGGGGAGCAGCCACTTAGCAGCCTGGAGTAGCAACTCTTTCGGAAATATGAAAGAGCAACTCCTTCAGAAACACAAAAGATGATCTTCTTTGAGAACTGTATTTCCACAGCTAAAGGAATAAATGTTTACCACATATGCTAACTCAACTCTAGCTGCTTTGAGAAACAGCAGTGCTGAGGAAGCACTTGCCCAGCTTCAGCATGCTCTAATATTTTGAGTTCCACCATGAGAGTTTCAGAGGACACATTGCCCATACAGACTCTGGAAACCTTTGAAACGTCCACCCCACTGCTATCACTACTGCTTGCTGGACATGGCTAGCACAGGTTGCCACATGCCAGCAAACTTTGCAAATCCCAGAAAATGCCAGCAGGTTTGTTTGGCTGCAGGAGCCCGGCACACTGCATAGTTTGTAGTGCTCAGGGGTCTGTCTTTTCTCTCACCCTTTACACCAGGCTTGTCTTAAAAGCCACCTTCACGCCATGCAGTCAGGCCAAATCCTTCCAGAGTCAACAGACTGTAAGAAGCAAGCAAGTGATCCCGGTGGTGATGCAGCCAGTCCTCGGCCAGGCTCCTCCTCTTGCTTGCCAAGCTTGCCACTTGCTGTCCCCTGACTGCAGGAGTAGTTCAGGAGTATCAGCCCCCCCAGAACAAAGTACAGCATCTCCACCTGCCTGCATGGTTTGCTCCCTTCTGTCTTCCTCAGGCCCTCCACAAAATGTACAGTGGATATAGTTTACATCAGAGTTCCTGAAATAAGTGCCATAAACTTTTATATATATATGTATATAAAATATGTATTACGTAACAACGTTCAAACACATGTTCATATCTCATTAGATATGACACTAATTATAGTATTTGCCGCTTCAATAATCTATTTAACAGGAATGTAATATTCCAGTAAGGTATTAACAACAGCTAAATATTTATTCATCTTTGTTTTTTCATATATATACATTTTAACCTCTGTATAATGAATTTCCACATACCCTAAATAAAAGTCATGTTAGGATAGGGTTTGGCAATTTGCTGAATCAGAGTTAAAAA